ACGAGAAGCGTTCTTATCATGCTTTACCTACTTAAGACTGATTTGGTCCATAGACCACTTTCATAAATGACTGCAGGATTAATATTCTTTTGTTTAAATTTAAATTAGCCTTTCTGGCCTTTTTTTCCAGTACAAAATTCAAAAGAATACATTATCTCAAGCGAGGCCAGAAAGGCTAATTTGAATTTAAACAAAATAATATTAATCCGGCAGCCATTTTTGAAAGTGGTCAATTTAATGTAATTTCTAGCTGCACGGAATGCACACAACTATTGCAACACCTCGTATAACAATATGTAGCTATGTGAGCAGCTTTGTAATTTCCGCTTGTAAAATTGTTCAGTCAGCGTTTTCTTCAACGAACACGGATAGAACTGTTTAATACTCTGTCTTCGTATGTTATATGGTTCGCGAGGAGCTTCTACAAGTATTGAGAATCGAAACTATTCATGGTCAATTGAGAATCAAACTAGCAGTCTTAGTTACGAACTTCAATCACTGAATCAGTGAGATTTCAGTATCCCAAAACTTAAGGTATTTAAATTGGCCTTAAAGGGTTGTTGCCTAGTGCCCATTAATATGATTTCAGTTTTGTTATCATTCAGTTTGAGTTTTTCCTTGAGCATGTATGTATAGACATTTGTAAATGTGTAATCGTCAAACTGGTACATTGTTAACCGTCCTCGCTGCTCTTTGGTTCAATCTGCCACTTTCAAAGTCGTTTCTCTTTCCAAGGTGATATGCTGTGAAGTTCAAATAAGGCATCCTTGCCGACATACAAAACGTTTCCAGAATGATATTTTTATGTACCTGCGGCGGCTTCTTTAGGTTCGCGATATAGCAAAGGTAAACCAGCGCGTTGAATTTCTGTGAACTATCATTCTGCCCCTGAGCTAAGCACCATGGAAAACAGTGATCAAATCATTATTAAGCTTGCAAACCTCATCTCTCTAAGGCCCAAAATAGACATGTAACACTAACAAATAAATTTCCTTGTTTTATAGTATGTTGACTACCCAATTGATGATTTCGTAACCGAATTTTGAAATGTGAACGAAGAAAGCTAGAAAAAATTTCCCACAAATAACTAGGTTGCTATTTCGAGGAAGCCGATAAAGGATGCTGGATTGTACAGTATGCCTGGGAGCTACTGTACACGTTACTTGTAGTCATTGTGCTGCGTGTGCAACATAAGCAAGAAGTGACACTATTGCAGTGTTAGAAACATTTCCTATTGGATTTCCTAATAACTTGAAAATTTTGTCGAGAGAACCTCTCCAAACACGTGATTTAGGACTTAGCTCGTTGGCACTGATTGACGCAACATAGGGAAAATTCCTTTCAATCCTGATAACTGTCGATAATCTAGGGCAAGAGAAAATTATTCTCATCCCTCGAGTTTGCGTACTCATGGATAGGACATTATTTGAAAGAGATAGAAGAGATGAGGTTCTAAAGAAACTATGGTGTGTTGTATGATGTTTTGATCCTACTTTTTAAAAGTTTCAATAGGAATGGTCCTAGTTACATTTAAGACTTCTTTAATAATTATACTTCCAACAGTCAATTATTGTCTTAGAGGCTCAGGCACTAAGCTTGGAAAAATTCTTTTAATAGCAAGTGGCGCATCCCTTTGCATCCACAGCCAGCTACCTTTGGAATACTCTACCATGCAATGCTAGAATTACTGGTAATGTGAATACTTTTAGAAGTATAATAAACAAATTAAACCTTGTACCGTTTATTTATCGCTAAGCATCATAATAAGAATTTTTTATTGTGCCCTGCACATGATTATTTATAGTATTTTATACTTATGTAATTTTCATTAATTTCAGTATTATGTAGTGAATTGCACATGCGCATTGTAAAACGTGTACCTAAATGCTGCTAAGCGTTATGTGGATAAGAAAACTATCTTACAATTATCTTATCTTATCTTATTATTTGTTTTTTTGCTATATGGCTGTGTCTCACAAGGACTGGGAACTACCGAACTCACGAATTTGATTGGCTGAAATCAATATTGAAAGCGGTCTAGATTTTCCCATCTAGACCGGCATCTAGACCGGTCTAGAAAAAAAAGGTACAAAAAATATAAAAACTCGGCATATAAGGCACAGCCATATAATAAACATCTTATTAACCGAGCTAGGTCGGTCTGTATGGAAGAACAGACCGCTGGTACAGACCTCACTGCGTTCGGTCTGTACTGGCGACCTCGGTCAAGATTCTCCCATACGATTCTCCCATAAGATTCCATAAGATTCCCATAAGATTCTCATAAGATTCCCATAAGACTCATAAGACTCCCATAAGATTCTCCCGCTCGGTTAATAAGAACTAAATGAAGTACATTGGCCACCGTTAAGAGTTTCCAAGGCCGACGTTTCGAGTATTTTGTCCAACGCCTATACTATGGGCTATCACTCGAAATGTCGGCTGACCAATTTACATTTATTCATCAGCTTGGTTGATAAGAACAAAATTTAGATTTGCTTGAAAAGACATACTGATAGGAACTGATTTAAAACCATGTTAGATACAGCATACGATTGCTGGTCCTGTTCAGCAATTTTTTTTTCAATGAATTGTTTTTCTGAGTTCTCGTCGAAGTAACTACTTTCAAGTGTGTCTTGCCTTAGGAAATCATAGCAATCCAAATACAAGCTTTCATGGAATTACTTACAAAGGAAATTTAAGGAGTGGTCAGTGATTTATGGATACTAATGATTGAGGAAGTAATTCAGCGCCTCACTGGTTCTAAACCATTAGACAGTATTGCTACATCAGCTTTATCAGAAAGCTAAATTTGGATGATTGATTAATTTGAGGTTGTGGAGTGCATCGTTGCGGTTTCATACCCTTATTGAAGTCGAGACAATTATCTGAAAGATATATTTTTGGAGTCTTCGAGAAAAATTCCCCATCAGTTTCGTCTGGCATACGCAGTCTATTACACGAATACATTTGTGATTATATTTTACTCGGTGATTAAATCGAAGTATTTTGAGACAATTACATGAGACAGAAATAAATTTTCGGTTTCAGCAATTACAGCATGCGCAAGCCGCGCGGAAGAAATGAAAAATTCATTATTTCTAGGAAAGGGATATGCTTGATCACGTTCTTTCCACGAAAAATCGTTCAATAACGCCACTGCGTCACGGTATTCAGACGTTCGCTCAACGAAGTTAACATGCGAGTCCTCTCCGTCAGCCTTGCTTTCATATGAACAATTTGCGAAACTTTGCACACAACAGTTTGCAGCAAGAAAATTTAACCTGAACGAGAACAGAAGGAAAATCATGAATAGTTGCCGACCATTGGGGCATTGAGTATACTGCCATATTTGGGCTGATAGTCATCTTGTCATATTTTCATTGGTTATTGCATGTTATAATGACAATCGATCTGCTGTCCAAGGAGTTCTGAGAAAAAAAATCAAATCAACTTTATGCTTGGCTACAACAGCGACATAAGTTGTTGAAGCAGAATCAGTCCACTCTCATCATGGTCGATTTTCATTAAAATCGGATACTCACCGCGGTAACTTTAGCCAGAAAATCATATGCATCCTTCCAACTCATTAGGAGCCACACAGAGGAGGTTCGTTTGTAGATTTCATTTGCTTCCGTCTTTAAATCGAAAGTTAGGATTTTGTTCCCGTCTTGAGGCCAGCCCGATAAGTTATATCCTAAGTTAAACGAAATTTTATATACAAGAAACCAAAGTAACCTGGTTACTAGCTCAGGAAAAATCTCCTATATAGAGTCTAGTTGAAATTATGGATTATCATTGACTGTAACTAGGAATCGTGAGATTAGTTACGCAGGTAACGTTTGCAAAGAGGATATTCTCAACATACTTCTTATTGACAGCGTGACCTAGAGGCTAATGGAAACGTTTTTAATTGTACCCAGTGAGCTTGGTTCTTTAAGGTTGAAGCTAGTCTGGCGTATTAGTGGAGTTCTCTCCAATCGATGTTTCGTTTCGTCACGCAACGCTTCCTGGGGCGTGGGGGAGAGGTCTGTGGGAGAATGCAGTAAGTTGTAACATCAAATAACGCAACTGTAGAGACAACTGTTGTACATGTTTCAATTTTTGTCATGAAAACATACGATCATGAATCACGAAAACGATTTCAAGTACATCGCATTTCTGATCGACTCCCTAGTGTATCGCGGTATTCATGTACCATTTACATACCATTTTCGGTCTGTTCACTAATTAGGTATTTATTAATTGATAGTTTAATTGATGCAGGTCCACATCAGGACGTAATGTCTTGCCTATCCCTCAACCTGCTTTATTAAATAAACTATGATGATGATGATGATGATGTTCATGCTGCTCTTCGCTCGGAACGCGTGAGCTCGGTTGAAAGCTTTAAAAAAATTATTTCCTTTAGTAATGGCCCTATCTTAAATTTAGCGTTGGTGAAAGCGGTGAATATTTGCTTCGTAGCACGGCAAATATCCACCACTATTCACCTCTACTTCGGTGAATAAGTTATTGATTAAACGGGAACTAAGATAAATTGATTTGAAAATATAAGTGAATGATAACGTGCCATTGGATCTCCTAGAAGCATAAATAATTAGCTCTGGAACCCTACTGTCCTCTGATAGCCTAGATAGTATCCTAAGAAAAAAACGATAGCTCGTTATTAGGACATCGTATGAGAAGTTACTGAGTTGACATACAACTGCACTGTATCATGTAATCACTTATGTAGATCAGTTGGCTTCGAAAAACATCTCACGTCGATTTCAAAAAGCACTTGCTATAAATCGAAGGAAAACTCCGCGCAAGATTGAGAAATAATGGCGCTTGAATTCTGATAACAACAGGTCGCAAGCTTACGGGAGGACCGAATAAAAAGGCTTGAACAAAGGACCTACCAGCCGAGGAAAAGAGCGTCACGTGACGATCCTTTGACCAGTGGTAAGCGTTCGGGGAATCCCCTAGTTAGAAATTCACAGTGCGGTTTTGTTACCGTCGCCATATTAACGGCTCTAGCGCCAGCAGGATTTCTTCTCTTGTTCGAAAACCCCGACGGAAGAGCGTAGTTTGGTCATTTTCATTGGTATTTTTTTTCATAACCTCAATGAATACAAGTGGAAATGTTCCTTACAGTGGGTTTGGAGTATTTCAGCTAGAAATACCAATCTTTCACTCGATACGAACGGGCTGCGACAGAGACAGATACAAGATGGCGGATCGTGGATTTTGGCATGGATAGCGAGCGGGCTCCCCGTAACGGTATCGACCAGTTTTTGTGATCAGTTTAATGCTGCAAGTTGGTACGTGAAGGAATGCAACGATATTTTTGGACGTTTCATAATCGTGCGGTACGCACTTCCCTCTCAGCTAAATTATCTTGAAAGGGTTTAGGGGGCACCATCACGATCGGAAGGGGTTTTCCTTCCGCGCTGATTGTGGATGCAAAGCATTTATCGTTCTAAGCCTTGTAGTTCAGCCGTGTGCCTTTTATAATTGCATTCAGGAACATTTTCCCCAAGTTATTTTCTTTACATTTAGGCTCTGTTGATGCCTAATCTTTTAGAATCTTTACATTTCATCGCCAAATGCTTGGATGCAAATAGATATCCAGGAGTCTGACGTATTGTTATCGAAAGATTAATGTGCAAATTTAGCACTTTCTGAACAAGTACCTTCAGTTTTGGGTCCAAGTTCGAAAGCACGCATACAGCTCTACCTTATAGAGTTAATCATAAATACAACGAGATTTTGCAGTTAATCTTGTAATAATAAATGCTTTTGTCGATAGAACCGACTGAAAATCTTAGCAAACACAATGCTTCATTGCAATTTATGGTGGCATTACGTAGGCCGATATCCATGTACTTTCCTGTTCGGTGTGATGAGGTCATCCATCATCCTTGCTTCCTTTTAGAATTTTAGTAACACGTAACGATTCGAAGTTTCAGTTTTTTATATATTTGAAGATTAAGCAGTTGGGAAGTTTGACGAGCTATGCCTCAATCCACAAAAATAGACGGTAAATTTAAACGGTAGTGTTAAGTTATAGGATACTGTCGGGCATCATTTTATAAGAAAGTTCCTTGAAGAGAATCATTTTCTAGTTTTGTCTGGTTTATACCCCTTAATTTGTGTCTTAGACAATAAAGACCAGCATATTTTGTTACTAAAGAAAAATCCTGTACATTCTAAATTCTGCAGAAGCCAAATTTGTCTGTGGAGACTTTGGGTTACAACTTTTGTGGTTTAGCTTAAGTTTACACTCACTCCATGGTTGGTTCTATGATTTAATGTCATGAGTCTCATTTCTGCTTCACATCTTTTCATGCTAATAGGAATAGAGATCGAGAATTTTTTAATGGTTCAACCTAACTGTAGGAAATAACAGAAGCTAGGGCTGCCATTGATTGCCATTAAGCAAAGTAGAAAAATGTGATAAAGAGGGATGCTTTGTGACTGTACTAAAACATTATTAAGCCGCTTTCAGAAAAGAAAAAAATGTGCCCCTGCTTTGCATGTAGGTTGTTTTGATTATTCCGTTAATAATTGTATAAAATAGTTTACATTGTTTTTATTCTTGCAGACTTGAAACAAACAGGGGCAAGTCTGGATCAATTCACAAGTCCAAAATAAATATCTGAACTGCAATGACACACATGAGAGGTGAATCAGAGACATTGAATCCATCAGAAAACTTTGTGAGCTTACAAAGAGAGATAGCAAAGTTGAAGCAAGAGAACAAAGTTCTTCACATCCGTGCACAAGGAGTGGAAGTGTTAGGTAACTGTACTAGTACATGAACAGGATTTTGCTACATTAATTTCATTAGTTTGAGTAAAGATACACCTGTAGCATAATGATAAGATCTTATGCATGGGAGATATTTACATGCAGGTGCAGTTCAATGTTTCGTACATGTATAGAGTGTTTGACTTACATCTAAACCAGGTTTATAATTATTGGGTCTGGTTTTGGCTGGAACATTAATTCTAATTGGAATTGTGATTGGGGCTATTCAAGTTATACATGAATGGATTGCATATACCTCTAAGCTGAAAGCAAAGGTAAGTTTACCTCTTCAAAATGTACCCTAGCGATTATGATTGTTTTAAAATTAATGATTAAAGGTGTTCAAAAGAATGCTGTATTATGATGATTTCAATTCACTTTTATGGACAGCACACAGTTATCAGCAAGGGCCAAACTTGTGCATTCTAACCACATTGCTAGCACATCTCCAGAGGCAATACCTGTATACCTGTACATATACAAGGAATTTATAATAATTACTTTTATCCATTTCATTCTTACTTGGCCATCAGGTAAAGTTCTTCAAGATTCCCAAGAAAGCAATTCAAAACTAAAAGAGGAAGTTAGAGAGTTGAAAACCCATCTGGACCAAAGAGGCTTTGATGCAGCTCTAGCAGATATCTCAGTTGGCACTTCAATTAATGATGACAGCCAAAGCAGCATAATTGATCATGGAGAAAGATATTACTCATCTATGGTTGGAAGAAGTTCACAGAGGCCCGATTATATTAATGTTACAACGGTTTCTGGACCCCAGTCACTGCCGGCAGAATTTTCCTCCATGTTATGTGGTGATTTTCACATCAAGGTATAAATAATGCTATGGTGCAGAATTAACAGTTGGTTTTATTTTCTCTTCAACTCATTTATTTCAGACTTTGGAGAATGGAGACTGGATGGTTCAAGAAGCTCCTCGTGAAAAATGTATCAGTAAAATTAATGAACAACATCATCTTTACACATTTTAATCAACACTGATGTTGAGTTCAAGTTTGTTGACTTCATTCCATTATTAACATGTGTAGGGTGTCACTGACTGTTTGGGATAGCTATAAATCCTTGTCTTGACTCTTCCACTCCCATAATCTTGATATCAATTCTAGGTACCATCTGCCACACTTTTCATATAACCCCCCTTCCCCCAGTTTATTATATTTTCCTTCTTAACATTCTTTCTCTGGCAAATATCATAACTATGGTATTTCAAGATGAAATTTCATTTTGCCCGCTACTGGTTGTGAAAGGGGGTCAATGCACTATTAAGACATTGTACTACCTTCCAAAATGATTTAATAAACAAACCAAAGGAGAAAGCAAACATGCAAAATGATAGCTAAAAAAGAGTAAATGAACACTTTAGGTGATGAAAAGGGTTGAGAAATGAAAGCAACCAGAGAAGAGACCTGTACATTAAAACTTGGAATTTTTTTTATCTTTAAAGACGCTCAACAAAGTAGATCAAATTATTTTTGTCATTTAATATTTATTGGTGTGTAGCTGTTTGCAGTGTGTGCACTGCATGGTGTGGTTAGAATAAATTATTCTCAGCTCCAGATTTTTCAAACCAATTTCATTTTCAATTTTTTTTTTCTGAACAAAACATTTACCTCTCTCAGTTTATGATGAATACCTAAAATGGAATCAATATAAAACTGTTAAGATGAGGATTTTGATCACTATTGTACTAAGGAAACCGAAACAAGTTGAACCATGCCATGCATGATTCACATCTGCTCTATAATCCTAATTATAGACACTTCAATTGCTTCATGAGTTTGTCTTTAGCAGTATTGTTAAGAGTTTAGTTTTTTTTTTTTTTAGATTTACTAGGACATTAGAGTACCTAGTAACTTAGATGGAAAAGTTCAAAAACAAAGCAAAAGATAACAAGTGAAAAAAAAAGAAATATGAAAAAATGGAAAAAAAGTAGCCTTCTCTGAAGAAAGGAAGAAAATTGAAAAAAGATATACAAAGAAAGCAAAAAAGAAAATCAAAGAAGTGAAGGAAAATCTATAAAAAAAAAAAGAGAAAAGAATGGACAAAAAAGGAAGTAAGAAAAAAAATACATAAGACAATAAATGTAAGAATTAACTAAATATAATGAAAGGAACAAATAAACAAGCAGAAAGACCAAAGTAAGAAAATAAAAGGCTGATCACCTGGTTCAAGATGTTTGCTGAAGGTTCCTTGCCTGCCAAAAAATAAACTTTTATAAGAAACTTTGCTATTTCTTCTCAGTTACATGAGTAGTACATGTTACTTAATCTACATATTCCTTTAAAACTAGCTGAATTCTCTTTCATATAGATGCAATAGAAATGAGACTTTCATTTTCATCTAATGCAGTGTTAAACAAATTAGATGAGTTCCTCGAGAGGACGGGGGAACAAACCTGATGGATTTTCTTGTTTGCAAATCAGATGAGTCCTAGACAGAAACAGATTCACTATTCTCAGGGTGTTTAATTCCTTTAAACATACCTGTTATGAGCAGGGTTCGACTGAGGTTTCTCTTCAGAGATTCCTTGACTTTGAAGTTTATAGAATTCTTGTGTTTCAAAAGGAGCTACGAGATGAGTTTGAACAAATTGGAACTGAACTAGATCAAATACAAAGAGGGACGCAGAAGCTTCGTGAGAATGTAAAGCATCTTCCTGATGATGGCAGAGAAGTAGAATTGATGAGCAAACTTGAACGCCTCAATTCAAAGCTTCAAGAGTACATTAAGGAGGCTCGCACCAGGGAGACCCTATCAAGTGCATTAATCACTGAAGAAGAAAAGTTGAAAACAAAGCTTGCCGAAATAGAGGCAGAACAGGTTTGTTATTATTGTGTGTGCCGTGTTTATTTTGGGTAATTGCATAATACATACTGTACACTTTACTTAGTCTATGGAATATCTCAGAGTTGCAGAGTTCTATATCTGGGTCATTTTGGTCATATGAACATCACAGCTGAAGAGGTCATCAATTTTGGTTTGTGTTATGTTTTGAGTGTGTGTTTCTCGATTGTGGTAATTTGAGATGTTTCAAGTTAATCTGACCATTATACTATTTAAGTGATAGTTACAGGTAATTGAGGGATGTAGCTCATATGTGCACATTCTTGTTGCCTCCCAAATCAATTCATGGACAGTGTTTTCATAACAAAATGTGGTAGTGGAGGAAAATATAAAAAAGATAGCTTTGATTATCAAAATTTAGCCAGTGAGTGTTGCATAGTGGCTGCAGCATTCTTCACCCTTTGATGTCAAATCACTGACACCCTGCAGAGAGGTTGCTGTATGATTTGTCACATGCAGTCATGTGCATGGCAGTCATGTGCATGAGAGTATGTACCGGTAGTAGTCCCAAAAATTATGATGGTTGAAAGAAATTAACTTTCAAATCAGCGGAGCAGTCCTTTTACCTTTTGAATTTGCAAGAAAACCAAGCAATTAAAGGCAGTGATTATAGAAACAAACAGTAAATTTCTACTGATTGCACCTGCAAAGGAGAACAATCCATGATCTGAATTAGTTGACAAAAAGGTTGTAAACTTATCAGCCAATTGTCACTGAAGTTTAAGAAGACATAGATGGCCTTTTTTAGAATAAAACAAAAGAGGAGATGTGCGACAAGAAGAATAGAAAAAAAAAATGTGCTTCTACTTGTAGGCTTCGCATGAAAATGTGGTGCATCAGCTTAAAGATAAACTGGATGAGAGCCGTGAAGAAATGGAACAACTGCAGGATGAAATAAAACTCTTTAAAGATGCTGTGTTTGTACAAAGAGAGCAAGCATCACCATTTGGAGACAGAAATGAACCTTTGTCAATAAGCTCAAGGAAGAGTGCATCCAGATCACTATCTGATGAGGTGCAGTTAATTCAACGTTTTTATTCCACTTTTTTTTAGAAGTCAGTAGTTCACTGCCTTCCCTGCATGCAGGAAAAGTTTTCATCTCAAATTAATTGCAACATTTGCATTTTACACTTTTATCATTTAATTATAATAGTAATAATGGTTAGGTTTTTATGAGTGCATTTAATAAGAATCTCAATGTACATAGTTTTACATAGCATAATAAAAATAATATGTAACAATGATACTAACAGTCAGTAGTACCTACACTAACTGTTCAACTGAATTATCAGCTACAATGTGTGTAAGTGTATTCAGGAGCTGGTCACTGTATATTTATGTGGAAATGTTACTTGAATCCTTTTAAAATTTATTATTGTTTTACTTTTAGTGATACCTGTACATCAAGCAAAACAGTAGTTTTCTCAGTTTCAGAGTTACGTGTTGCCTGCAGTTTCTTTCCCCACCCAGCTTAATAATTATATATTTACTGTTTGTATGATCTGCTGAAATATTATAGGTAACATTGTAAAGCTTGGTTTGACATTTTTCCTAATATAATTAGGGATCCATATTTGCCAAGACACCACTATCCCAGTCTGATCCGAAAGATTGTGTGACCTGTGGCCAGTTGAAGAGGCAAAATGATGAGCTGCAGAGACAGCTTCTGGTGGCCAAAGCTGAAAAAGAGGAAGCACTAAAACTCAAAGAAGAGGTGATTGTGTAATATCTTGCAATAATTATTGACAGTATAGTTTGTGTAGTGTTTTAGTTTCCATGTGTTTGTTTATCAATGTGGAATCTATTTTTCTTCTGGTAGGTTCTTGATGTGAATTACAAGTGGGATGAACAGTACAAGCTTCTCGTTGCTGCCTCAAAAAAAGATACTGATGACCTTAAGAAGCAAATTGAAATGCTGAAGTCAGGCAGTAATGGACATTTCACAGGAGCATTACTTTCAGAGAAAAAGGTTTGCAGTAGTTAACTGCTTATAAGTAATCACTTGGAAGTTCCATTTCTGAAATGTGGTTGCAAACTAACGTGTATTGATAATGGGCTCTAGTTTATACATGTACCTGCATAATTATCATGTGCAGTTCTTTGTATTACACTGCCAAACACTTTGACCCTTGAAAATAATTGTTTTGACTTTTCTCATTTGAGACTTGGTATCCAATTATTTTATTTCTGTATAGAAAGCCATGGAAACCCCTACTAAATTTATGTGATCTGTTAAGGCAAGTGTCATACAACACAGACAAGGTGTACAGATATATGTTGGGATCCAAGTGAATTGGATGAGGTTTGAGATCTGACTGTGGGGAAGGAATTTGGCCCTTAAACGAGACCTTTTACAGTCTGACTGGTTCCTCTTAAAATCTGGTCATAAATGTGTATTATAGTTACAGTTTATATGCATTGAACTTTCTAGGGATTAGAAGATCGCTGCAAACAGCTTGAAAGCGAGATACAAGAGAAACAGCTAGAAATCAATGGCTTACAGCTTTTGATGAGGAACAAGCCCATGTATTCGGTATGCTTTTATATGTCTGTAAACAAATCCTTGTGCACCATGTAATCATCAAGACACAAATTGCTGTAATCTACACATTCCACTATGACAACATTTGTGTTTGAGCTTACAGTGTAGAAATATTTTCCGTCAGTAAAAGTTTGTTTCTTGATTATTATCATTACCACTCAGATGCCTTTAAGTTGGATCAAACGTGAGAAGTTCACAAATCTCCACAAGTTGCCAACATGTAGCTTTAAAATACTGTACAGAAAAGGGTGTTGTATTGTTGTCAAATTATATTTTGGCTTGACTGTAACATGCACGACTGCAGTAGATAAAGGTAATACAGCATTTCTCTCAAAACATATCACCAACTGTAAGGCCAAAAGACTTGAACTTACAGAACATGTATCCATATATTTGCATCTGGACAGCCCCTGGCACCCCAGAATTCATCAATGGAGGAACCACCTTCTCGTCTATCCTTGCTGGGTGCAACTGCACCACGTCCAGGCCCACCCTCTGAAGGTTCACCATCTTGGCCTGGTACTACTGCTCTTGGACATCAAATCCCTGCAGAGGTCCTTGATCAAATTGAAGTGCTGAAACAACAACTCAGAGTCTATGCTGATGATTTTGCCACTGAAAGAGAAGACCGTGAGAGGAATCAAGCAGAAAAAGAGAAGCTCAAAGAAGAATTGGATGCCGTGAAAGAGCAGTTACATGCACTTGAGCAGCAGGTATACTTTGGAAAAAAATTATGGAGATAATAACGTATAGACTAAAGCTGTGTTTGAATTGACTGTTGGTGCATTCTTAGTATAAGTATCCACTTTGGATACGTCTTTCCACCAGATGATCGTCTACATAAAAAAAGCCCTTCACCTGTGTTTGTGAGATTATTTGTCACTGCATTTTGATGTGTAAAGATGTTTAATTAATGCTTGTCTGTTTTCTTTGTTTTGCCAACTGCCTTCTTCGAGTTCTGTCGTGTACACAAGCTGTTTCAAGGAAAGTTATCTAATTGGATGAATAGGTCTGTGTATATGGCACATTTGAATGGTTATCCCTCTTTTTTATCTTTTTTTTTTTTTGACATAAAGGTATTGAGGTTGCACCAAATCCACAGTTAGTCTCGTAATGTTATCTGTAGTTCTTACCCACACAAGTACTTGGAGACCTTAAGCAATCAGGCAACACCACGGACAATGCAGAATGAATTACATGTAACGTTGTGCTATGTACTACGTGACTTAACAATATTTTTTAGGAGTGAGACTTCATCTTCAGCAAAACATGTTTGTGCAGAGTTGAGTTCCAAAGAGAAATCATGTGGAGACTTGGCCTTCAAAATTTCTGTCCTCAAGATTGGAAAAAAATTACATTTTGTCGATTATGTTTTTCCAATGATGTTTAGGAAATTAATGGTACTCGAAATCTAACGTGCAAAGTTATCATTCTGGTCATTAAACCTTTTTTGGTCTTGTGGTTGTTGCTGTCTGTCATGATATCTTAAGGTCCCAAATAACAGGATTCAAAGACAGATGACATCACGATCATGTTGACTTGTTTCCTCAGTCTGTGCCACCTGATCCACAGCTGTCAGTAGCTCAGCTTGTCCACTAGGACCAGCCCTTCACGCTGCTGATCACCCTTTCAGCGGTAGGGTAGGTTCCGTAAGCGGAACAGTGGATAGAGTGTATAGTGTACATTGCAATTTCAGAAGCACAGGTGGCCAGCATGTTTCATGGTGGTGAATGTCACATCTTAAGTTCTCCATAATCTCATTACCACTAATGGGAGAACTGACGGACTTTTGTGCTATCATGTAACTAATAGTACTGTATTGTTCTATTAATAATGATGTACATTTTTGCATGTACATGAAAATATCACATTTAGTCCAACTTTTCCAGACTAATATGCTCTAAAGGTCAGACTGTATCTTGAATGCTCAAGTCAAGTTTATAACATCGTTTATCCTTGGTGATTTTCATGAAAGTCTTTTTCAAGAGTGATTAGAAAAAGTAATTTGTTTTGAAGACAGACAAATATACATGCAAAATAATGAACGAACAATATACGTTTTATCAAGATGTAGCGTTGTGTAGTGTTATTGGTCTTAAATATCATGATATTGACCTTGGTTTCCTCTTAAGAAGTAATTGCTTGGAGCATGTACTTGGGGCAGGGTTTATTGTACAATAACCATGGCTAATTATCGTTACTTCCACAACATACAAATCACTCATTTGTTCATTTTGAAGCAATTAATGTGGGGTATGCATCTAATAAGCTGTTTTATATGGAAGAGCCTACACCTTGTACTTTTTAAGAGAGTATAAGGTCTAACATCCTCTTTATGATTCTGGTGGGAATCCTTTCATTAAAATGGTTAATATGGTAATGTAGTCATATAATGTCTTTCTTTAATGTTGATTGTACTCAAACTCTAACTGCTTGATGTTCATGGAAACCAAGGAACCAAATTATGTACTCTTATTACATAAAAAAACCCGTCTTTTTGTGTCTTGATTTAGCTCCAGTTATACGAAGAAGACTTCAGACGAGAGAAGAGGGAGAAGGAGAGCCTTCAGCAACAATTAAGAGCCAGACAAACTGCAGTGAGTTTATTTTTTCCTTTTTTGACTTATGCAAACCAAATGGCTATATCTGTACAGTTAAACATGTACCTGCGCTTTTGGGAAGGGCGTGTGCTTGTAAATGTTGCTGGGACTTATTTCCCAAGGTTCCAGAGGAGCTTACATATACGCTTTGCTGTTCTTCACAGGGTGGTTACTCATACAATGATCCGTTGGCCCACAAGGCTAGGGCTGTGGCTGAACAACAGGCTAGGGTCCAGGCCATCAAAGAGGTACATGACCGAGAGAGGGACAGGCTAATGAGAGGACAACACGAGTTACAGCAACAAGTTTATGGACAGGTATAGCTTCCAAGCTCAAGTTTGTTCAATTCGCCATTTTGTAACCTGAATTAATCATGAAATGGTCGCTAGAGATAAAACTTTGGTTTCGAGAAAAACTTGTACTATATGACGTACATTGTACTAAACCGCTGACATTAGTATATTGTACTAAACCGCTTATGTTTGGATTAAGTAGTATGGCTGGTATTTGTTTTCAAAGATTGACACGCCATCTGAAACCTCTATACTTGGGCAGCTCAGGACAAAGAAGCAAAGTTTTAGCGAAGCGAACAACAACACAAATGCTCGATATTTCATGAAAATTTTTATGACACTATGTTGACTTGAGAGCATGAAAAATAGATTGTTTAAACGTTACAATTTGCTACATGATCGCTGAACACTGTGACTCAATTTTGCAGATTCAAACGCAAATTTTGTTTTCCTAGTCTCCTTTAAGTGAAAAACAAAGCGGTCGCAGATTGAAGTGCTGAAGTACATTTGCTACAGATCATTTAACATGCAGGTGTATTACCCCAGAAATCTCCACTGGTTTTCTCGTTCATTTCATTTAAAGTTGTATTGTTTTTTTCCTCACTATCCACACACTCGAGCTCAATCACAGTACAATGCTTATGGAAGATCTGGCCTGGACTACACAAATCGAGAGTGGAAGCGGCCCCCTTTGACTCCGAGGGTAAGGATTTTAAATTCGAATTTTACGCTAATTTAGTGTCTGCTTTGTCGAAGCTATCAACATCAGTATTTGGCGGGAACTGGACACACGACTATAGTTTGCTGCGAAGAGCCATGACAGCAAATCAGGAATTCCTGTAATAAAAGTACTGCTCGGGGTCCTTTTAGTGGCTCATATCAAGAGAGGAAGCGGCCAATATGGTTCCGAGGGTAAGGATTTTGTATTCAGTCTTTACAATGGTTTAGTATTTGAATGGCTTTCGTTACAAAGTAAGAATGGTTCAGAAAACTTGCACTACTTCCTCAGCCTATCAGATTCGACACTAAAGCAATCGCCACTTGGTTAGTCGCGCTTTTCTGCGCTAAGAGCACCTCCTTAGGATTTACTTCGAATGTTGTTTTGACAATTTCCCTTTTTCTGATTGGCTGTGGAAATTACGTTGGTATTTTTTTTTTTTAACTACAATCAATTGAAAATACGCTCCGAGACGAAAATGTAAAGGGTTGAGTCACAGGTCTCGCTTCCCTTCGTTCCTAGTCCACTCTGTGTATTGGTAGATGTACTGACCTGCTGCTGTTGTACCAGAAAGTCCTGATGATGCTTTCGGACTAGCAGCCTTTTTCCACGGCTACTTTCAGAGGGTATCCCTATGATCGCCATGAGAATATGAGCTAACGTTTTGTTGCCAGATTCCTTAGACACCCGGCGTAGTTTGTTGCACTGAGCTATAATACCATTACTTAGTATTTTCCGACATTTATAGTGCTGCTTGAGGTTTTTTTAACGGCTCATAATGCCATATCCCTCTGGCAACTTTCAGGGCGTACCTCCTCCTGCCCGTGAATTGGTCACACATCCAGCAAGTCAACAGTCAATCAGAACTTCCATGTACCATGGAGGAGAAGTTTACCCAGACACAGTTCAAAACGTTATCGATTCCCCTTCGGATGGAAACGATGTCGAATCAGATTCAGGTGTCAGCAGCAAGGACGAGGTGGTTGGACTGGAAGAATGCCCTCGCTGCTTGAGAAGATTTGATGGAGAGGATAGCGATACAGTCCTTAAACACATTGAGAGGTGCATCTCCTAAGGTGGCTCAACAGTTTGCAGTACTTTGTCATATTGTTTCGATGTATCAGCACTTCCACCCTGTATCGGTCTGTGGTAAAACATTGGTAACGAGTAGACGTTCGATCATTGGGTTGCATGTTCTCATCGTCCTGCAAGGGCATGTCAAAGTTGCAGTCATATGAATACACCTTACAATAGAAACCTATTCGTTTTTGCCCCAAGTGGTTATATATCAAATAAGCTCTAGTAGACGTTTTTAATTGCGAAAAATGACGTGGTTTGTGAAATACACATTCGTTTTGAGCCTTGAAAAGTAGAGGTTTAAGCGACCTTTGACAAAAGCGTTGAAGATAGTTATGCTTTTTGATTGATTGTAATTGATTGGGTTGTATGTTCTTATAGTCCTGCAAGGGCGTGTCAAAGTCGTAGTCATATGAATGTATCCTACAGTAGAGATATGTTAGTTATTACCCTAGGTGATTATATATCAAATAAGCTGGGGTACTAGTTTTTAATTGCAAAAATGACCTTGTTATTGAAATACACATTTTGTTTATGCCTTGAAAAGAGAAGGTTTAAGCGCGACCTTTTACAAAAGCGTGGAAGGTTATTATGTTTTTTGATTAGGACAGAGTTAGGCAGACAAGGAGACCCGCATTAACCAATGATTGGACTTTCGTTCGGTGCTAATGTTTCACTAGCGGCCAGTTCAGGGTGAAAGTGATAACAAATCGAATCATAAGTACTGCGAACTGCTTTGAGCCACCACATGGAAAAGATGTGGCTTCAAAACTGTTTGAGGAGGTGTAGTTGATTGGTAATTAATGCACCAATTCAATAGAAAGTAGGGCATATTGTCCTTGATTCAAGAATCTGTATAATCACGGTCTAGCTAGTTACACTTGTTTTTGTTTGAATTTGCAACATTATGCAGCATTGTTTATGACACTTATATTTGATATGAAGTTCACGTTTGTTTAAGTTTTGTGGGGAGAAGTAAATTTGATAGTGTTTTGAATGATATTTTTTCAGAGTAGCTAGATAAAGTGTTGTAATACGCAGGACAGCTCTCAGTTGTTATCCCTTTGTGCTCACTTGTTATCACCTTTTGTTCACTTGTTCTCCCTTTCAATTAATTTTAGCGAGATAATTCTATCACAATATTTCAAAAAGCTTGCCAACAGAGACGAGAAAGGAGCTGGTTCGTTGTCCAGCATGCCTTTGCTTTACTCAGAAATAGAAGGTATCCTAATTCAGTGTCTCTCGCAATGGAAGCAATGAATAGGTTTATTCTGCATGTTTCGGTCGTGTACCAGAGTACATAGAATATGTGAAGATACATGTATGGGTACAATCACTTATATTCAGTATTCTCACCTTTGATACTTAACATCTAATTTGGTAANGTTTTTGTCGCGTTTGAATGAAATGAGCGGAGGCTGCGAAAAGATAGTGCTTGTCTCTGGATCGTTTTGAAGTAATTTAAAGTTTTTAAGAATGATGGATTTAACTGAGTGGTTGTGAGGGTGAAACGTGAGAGTGAATGGAATGCGGTCGGAATCTTCCTTATGCGACGTTTGTAGTGCTGAATGTCGATCAATAAGTTGAGCGCGGTGGTAACCCGCTTGAACGACGGAAACAGGGTAACCACGTTTATCGAAGAACTGACACATTGACTCTGATTTGTGGTGAAAATCAGAGTCATTACTACATAAACGACGAAGTCTATTAACCAATCTATTTTTATCTTGACTCATGAAATGATCCCAGTCGATTATATGTTTATTTTGTGTGTGATTTGTATGCTTGTTTTTTTAGTACTCTTGGGTTTGGATGTTTGTCACTTATGATTTGTATACATTTTAAGCTTGCATGTCTGCACCATATCCCAAACGCCATCAGTGCAAGGGTTACTACAGTACTACTGCATGTGTAAATTCTCAAGAGGTCCCTGAAAGATCGTAAAGTGAGGTAATTCTAAGCGACAGAAATGGTTTACAGCCACAAAATAGCATCACGATGAAATCTGCTATAGCAGATTATTTTGATATTGTAAGTGTTACTTATATTTTTAGGAGTTGCAGTGTAATCGTTAGTCATTTTCATGTTTTCTTCTTATTAATATTACTATTAGAAGTAGTTGTAGTAGTATTACTTATTGTCATTTTTGTGTTTGCTCCTGTTGTTCCCTTTCCTGTTCAATTTGTGTTTACTTACCGCACTTATTAGGTTTAGGAAACAGTATCCGTCGATCTTCTAAGATTGGTAGTCTGTGTTGTTTATAGATTAGTTATAAAAGAGATAGACAGAGAAGTGTTATGAAATTATTGATGTAGAGGTATTTTATCTGAATGTGTCAATAGTCTAAAAAATCACAAGGAAAATTTTGAAAAACGACCTAAAAAACAGTAAAACAAGCTCAGTCCCACGAGACAAAAAAGAAAAACAAAGCACACACTTCTTTCATGAAACGTTATCAGAATCTTTTAATAGAGGAAAACGTAACGAATCAGGTAGAGGGAAGGGGAAATCTCGAGACGTAAGATCGTAAATATCATATCCGGAAAAGCATGATAGGAGTTTAAAAGGGCAAGTTCATTTAAACGGATCATTTCGTAACAGCAATTTAAAAAGAGATTTAAGGGCATGTTGCTCGCTTGAAGTAGTAGTGATAATGTTTTACGGTATTTCAGAATTTGTTTATTTGCTGCGGCAAGCCTCAGGTTTTAAAGAGTTATACCTCTTAATTTCCGAAAGGGAGCTTTCAAGAAAAGAATTTTTTTTTTGGCTACTAAGCGTAACGATTTATCATTGGGTTTGATTAAGTTAGGTACACGAGTGTGCTTGGACGGTACATCATACAATTTTTTGATCGAGGTTGATACCAGTATTATGCTTATCTCGGAACAGTTATGCATTATGTTTACATTTGTAGAGGATCTTTTTAGGGTTAGACGCTTGTTTCGTTCCACAGCGTACTTTACATCTACTTTATCGTCAGCTTATTTAGTTTATTGTCATAAATATGTATTCTCCCATATTTATCTTATTAGCAGTAAGGTGATTAAGAAATTGTTAGGTATTTACCCGACGAAGGCCAACAATTAAAAAACCGTTAACATCAAAACGCAATTAAAGCAGTAAAACAGAAACAAAACAAAAAAATTGAAAAAAATAGAAAAATTTAAAAAAAAAGTTGAAAAAATTAAAAAATCCAAAAAAAAAAGGAACTTTAAAAAACGGAGGAAAAAATTGGAGAAAAAAAGAAACAGTTGAGAAAGAGCTGAGGGAGGTGGTTGTAAGAAAGAAAAAAAGTCTTCATACATCTCAGTCTATTTGGTTTTAAGTAAGGAAATGTTCTCATAACTTCCATTTACTTAACGTATGACCTCTAACTAACGATTTTGTGATAATTTCTTTTGAGGTCCACTATACTACGGGTCTTCGATTGTTGTTGTGCCTTTTTGTAGCGTTCATTATTGTGCTTGTAGAACAAAACGCCTGACTGGTGAATAACCAGTCAGCGCAAAAAAAAAAAAAAAACCAACAAAGTTTGGGAAAAAATCGTTCTTGACTTATTAATTATAAATCTCCCAAGACTTTTTGGTTCATTATGTGACTCATCGCCTTTGTGGTCTTTTCGAATATGCGACTCAGTTAAAACTTCAGGGAATAGATCATGAACATGATACAATTGCATGCAAAAGACGAAAGACAAACCCTTAGTATTGCCACCATTTTGAATCAGACTTTACATTAACGACTAAGGAGGAGAGAATCGCATTTTCCCCAAAGTGTTTCATGTATTTTCCAAACGAAATAGATGGACACAAGTTGCAGAAAAATATATTTGGATAGTTGTTACCGATAGTAGGAAAATGGGTTGAGAATTTCTGGAAAATAATTGCGCAAATATACATCAGATCTTTAGTAAAATCTTTGACACCTAGTTCGCCGTAAATCTATGAAAGTCGTTCATCTGTGCCTTTAGTTCAGAATATACCGTGGGTATACATCTCAAAAGGTTCAAGGTCGGGCATTGGAATATTCACTGGTCAAAGTAGTCGAAATAACGAGGGCGAGGTGGAAATGAAAGTTCAAGGGTGGATTGTCCAGAAACATTATCCCGACGATTGCAGAAGCCACTGATAAGAAATGCGGTACTACACAACAAAACGGCTAATAAGATATATTTTGCGTAAGTTAAGATTTACAAACTGCAGTGAAGCCCTTTCAACTTTTTTTTATATTTTAAATGTTTGGAGCAAAAGCAAACGAGACCGCCTCTTTGCTGAAAAAAAAAAAAAACTGCTTCGTTAGTCAGTCAAGCGGAAGCGTAAATTAAATTAGCATTACTTTTATTTTATTTTGACGGAATTATAATGACAGTACTGATTCAGTGACGATAGAAAATCTCCACCCCATCAGGTGTGAAACTGAAAGTCTGACCAGGATTGTTGTTCGTCCTTGCATCCACTTGGTGGTGAATAAGAATCACCAAACAATGCGTACTGGGAGTTTGTGTTGCTGTTTGCACATCACTGATTTTAATGTCGTGATCCCACCCAAAAGTTGGACCATAATCTGACTGCTGGTAAATAACATTTGTAGGTTTAATCACCAGGGCCGGGTCGTTCAAAAGTTGGTCAAGATAACCTAGGGTTAGTGTGGAATTTGATTTCAGATCCGAAAGCTTTAAAAGAAAATTCAGTTTAATTATATTTTTCTACACTTTGATGACTAAGTGCTTTAAAAAGAATTGGGAAAATTATCCCAAAACGGCTTTTGTACAGAGAAGTATAGAGACCTGTATTAAAATTTAACCCTGGGTTAGCGCTAATCGGCGTTCAAACAACTGGGCCCAGGCTCATAAACGGTACCAGTCCTTCTTTATTTCGGAGAGAAAATATGAACACCTTGGGTTAGACTTCTGTAGCTGCCACTGGACCCTGAAGAATAATACATGAAATAATGAAATTACGATACGATTAAACCTCAAATATGAAAAAAGATGGTAAG